ATCTTCCCACTCAATGCCCTCACTTTCACTTCAGACAATATTCAATTCAATGGGAATTCAGTTGGTGTTGTAATCCAGCCACTCTTTTTTGTTTATCAAATTTATTGTGATTTGGGTGAAAGTTTACAGAGCAAATTCATCTTCCATGCAGCAGTTCCCATACACTTTGTCTCATGACTGACTGCAATCTCCCACCGCGCAACAGCTCTCCTCCCGCTTCCTCCCCATAGCCACCTCTTCCCCATGTCCTTCCCTCCCATGAACTTCTGCCCCCTGAGCTGTCTCCCTGTGCATACACAGCCCTTCTGTTCTCCCATGATTGATCTCTCCAAGGAGTATATCTACCTAATGTAAATGTTCAGCTCAAATGCCTGTCTTTTGTTTGGCTGGAAATGACAAGAGTGGGTTCAATTCCAGACCTGAAAGACGGCTAGTTACACACAGACCACTCAACCCAGGATGCTGCACCCACATACTCTATGGTAATATATCCCTTAGAGCAATAGACCACAGGGCACCAGAGGACCAACATTCAAATTGAGGAAATGCAGGACAAACAGGAGTGCATAAATATGATGCGCACAGGGGGAGGGTTACAGAGTAGGGAGGAGAGGAGACTGGGTTAGGATTGGACATGGTAAATGGGGAATGAAATTAAATGTAAACATAATGTTGAGTGTGAAACAAGCTCTTAAAAACAACAAAAATAAAGACAGCTAGGGGCCACAGTCTTAGGGTTTCACCAGGCTCTATCAGACCAACAAATCTGGTCTGTTGTTATTTTTTTTTTTTTTTATGATTTTGAGTTTTGTTCCATATTGTTCTCCCACTTATCCAGGATCTCCTACAGAGATTCCTTCTGAGTGGTTGACAGTGGTAGGTGGGCACCACCTAATTCTTCTGGTCTTGTAGTCATATAGGCTGAGGATCGCATGGTGTACCAGTCCCTTGGACTAATTGTTTCCATGTGTCTTTGGTTTTCTTCATTCTTCTTTGTAATTCAGCCACTCTTATAAGACTCTAGGTTTGTTTTTCAGCAATATCAGCTTTGTTACCACTAGAAACAAGGCCTTTATTCACGGCACAAGTAGCAACTTTCATATCTTTTATTGAACACTTGAGCTGTGACTCTGAGCACTGAGATCATCTTCCTTTCACTACTTTGTCTAGTGAAAATAGGACGAACCAACCAGCTTCCTTATGCTTCCCATTCTGACAAAATTATACAAAAGTATCTAATATGTAATGACCCAGAGACTTGTTTCTTACAGGTATTTGATCTATTGGTGGTGATATTTTGCTTATTTCTATTGCCACTTCACACCATGGATTACCAGTGTCTTCTTTACTACTGGACGCAGAGTCATCAGTGCCTTTGAGACTGGCAAGACTTGCAGGGGACATAAAGCTCAATTGGCATAACATACTATACAAAATATTGTTCCACCTCCTACTTTGGCAAGTAACAATGGGGATCTTAAAAGCTAGCAAGCTGCCATCTAGATGCAATGATGGGTCTCTCCTCATCCATAGCAAAGAAGAATGAAGAAAACCAAAATTCATGGAAACAATTAGTCCTAGCGACTGGTACACCATCCAATCTGCAGCCTATATGACTATGAGACCAGAAGAACTATATGGTGCCCGGCTACCACTGTCATCCACTTGGAAAGGGATCTATGTAAGAGATCCTTGATAGAGAGGGAGAACAATGTGGAACAAAACTCAAAATCATTTGGAGAAAAAAAAATAAGGTGGTGGGGAGACCAGGTTTGCTGGTCTGCTAGAGCCTGATGGAACCACTGAGACTATGGCTTCTAGCTGCCCTTCAGTCTGGAATTGAACCCATACCCGTGGTTTCCAGCCAAACAAAAGACAGGCATGAGTTGAACATTTACCTCAGGTAGATACACTCCTTGGAGAGAACAATCATGGGAGAAAGAAGGGCTGCTTATGCACAGGGAGACAGCTCAGGGGGCAGGAGTGTATGGAGGGATGGACACTGGGAAGGGGTAACTATGGGGAGGAAGTAGGAGGGAATCTGTTGCATTGTGGTAAACTGTGGTTAATGTCATGAGACAAAGTGTATGTGAACTGCTGTATGGAAAGTGAATTTGCTCTGTAAATCTTCACCCAAATCACAATAAAAAAAAGACTAGCAAGACTTGAGAATCAATTTAGAAAACTCAGCTATGCAATTTTTGTTTCTCTATAACCAATCTTGGTACCAAATGTCTTAGGCTAGGTTCTATAGAGAAGTAAAATCAGTGAAGCTTATATATGTATTTATATATATACATAGAGAGATAGATAGATAGAGAGAGAGAGAGAGAGAGAGAGAGAGAGAGAGAAAGAGATATTTGTCTCAAGGAAATGGTTCACAGTGTTGTAGAGATTGGCACGTCCTAAGCCCATTCATCAGATGTCAGGCTGGAGGCTTCTATTGACTCACGTACCTGCAGGGGCTGATGAATCCAAGATTATCAGGTAAGATGGCAGGCTGATGGCTCAAGTCCAAGAACCAGAAATCAGATGATGGAAGATGGATGCAGGATCCAGAGCAAGCAAAAAACTAGAGAATTTTTCCACAATGTTTATATATATCCAATGCAGGCCACACCCTTGAGGTGTGGAAACTCCCTTTCAACTAATTGGCTGCTAACACTACATCATAACTGTCAAACCAGAGAATCATAGCCCAGCCAAGTTAACACACTACCTCAACTGTCACACTACCTTTACATTGTGAGTTGTCAGAGGGGATAAACTCATTGTAGTGATGCAGGGACTACAATTCAAAATCTTGAATATTGTGAGTTATCATACCAGAGAAAGAATAGGAGTTCTAGAGGATCTTAACTTTGACAATTAAGTGCTCTGGCCCAGAAATGATACTTATTCCTTCTGCTGATAACTTGCCAGTTCTGGTCACATAGTTCTACCACAGGGGCCTACAAAGTGCAATTCTGTCATGTGTACAGAAGAGGGAAGCCAGAAATATTTGGTGAACAACACTAAATAATTCCCAGAGCTGTCTGCTTTCTCACCATATAATTGTCTTAGCATTGTCTTGATCTGGATAATTATGAGCTAGAGATGCCATAGATGCCAAAGTAGGTGGGCTCCATGAGGCTGCAGGGTTGAGAGGAGACGGAAGTATGGGAAGCTTACCCCCTCCCTGATGCAGAAGTTTTAGAGTTGTTCTTCTAACAAGTCTGAGAAAGTGATAAGACTCTGTGAGCTTTCAAAAAATACTTGAGCTCTCTAAACACACACATAATTGGTGTTCAATAAATATTTTCAAATGGATGAGGAAGTATATACTGAAGATTTGGGTTTGATTTTCAAATTCCAATTCTGACATTTATCATCTGATTGATCCTAAATAACCTGCTTAAGTACTATGAGCATTAGTTTCTTCATCCATTAAGAGTTTATGATGCCTGATTACTTCTCAAGGTTGGAGGTTTGAGTCTGTCCAGAGGTGTTGTGGAAGAAAGTCCTGGTGATTTACTTTCAAAATATCAGCCATTGACAACTTGAAAGGGCACAAGTCTACTCTGACACATGTGAGGTTGTCATGAGTCAGAATCAACTCAACAATAACTGATGAATTAATAAGTAAACATACAAGTTTAACCAATATTTATGAGTCCTTCTTTTGCACATAAAGATATTTTGTCAATCAAAGCACACTATAGGAATAAAAACAATAATTATTTTTCCCTTATCTGGAAAATTTCAATTGTGATGTGAAGAAAAATAAAACCAAGCAAACTAGCATGGATCTTTCTTCTTTCTAAAGATGCCAAGTGCTATGTGTCTGGGAATAAAATAATAAGACCCCGTTATGAAATTTCATTCCAGGCCACAGTTTTGGTTAGACCACAGGCTTGCTTATTTTTCTTGCCACAACAGGAAAGATTATGAGGTATGTGCCAGTCTTGGCTCCTAACTGAAGTGTGAAAGTGGGAATCCAAAGTACTTTAAATTGCTCTAACTGTGGTTATATGGGTTAGAAATAAACTTCTGAAGTAAGATTGACAAATAAAATAAGAACAGCCAGTCAATTTTGAATTTCAGATAAATAATGAGCAACTTTTTTAGTATAAATATGTCCCATACAATACTTAGGCCATACATATATTTAAAAATTATTTGTTGTTTATCTGAAATTAAAATTTAACTAGGTGTCCTGTATTTTTAATTTCTAAATCTGTTGTTGTTTTTATGTGCTGTTGAGTCAGACCTGACTCATAGTGACCGTTTCTTGGGGTTTCAGAGGCAATATCACTACAGAATAGATTGCTCAACCTTCCTTCTGAGGAGTGGCTGATGGGTTTGAACTGCCAGCCTTCTGGTTAGCAGTCAAGTGCCTTAGGCACTATGCTACCACATTATGAGGGATAGCTCATACCTTCACAGTTGCCCTGTGTGCTTGCTGAGGAGGGCAATTGGGCCAGCTGATGTTGTGTCTTTATGTCTTCATCTCGAGTTATGGCAAAGTCAGAATCAGAAATCAAACTTTCTGATTCCAAGATTTATACCAGCTCTGCACCTTCATTGCTTTGTAATCATTTAGAATTAAAACTTTTTATTTTTTTAAATTGTTATTTGGGTGAAAGTTTACAGAGCAAATTCATTTTCCACACAACAGCCCACAACATTTTCTTTTTTTATGGCATTGATCGCAATCCCCATAGTGTAACAGTTGTCTTCCCTTTTCCTCCTTGAGGTTACCTTTTCTCCATGCCCTTCTGAGCTATCTCCCTGTGCAAATACTCCCCTTCTGATCTCCCATGAGTGACTGTTCTAAGGAGTGTACCTACCTGGCATAAACGGTCACCTTATATACCTATCTATTGTTTGGCAGGATCCTGAAACTTTTTACAGGAAGAGAAGAGCTGGAAAATCAGGGATGGCAAATTGGATGTTGATTTCTCAGGTCTTTTCTCATTGATGGATTGCTGCTCTGTTATGGTCTTTATTTCCCACTGTAGGTGCAGACCCCATATGGAGTTTCGACCTCAATGACAAACTATCTAAAAGCCAACATAGTAGTCAAGACTGCCAGTGAGTTTGCTGAAGAATCACTAAATTATGTTATGCCTGGAGATGAAAACTGTGGCTGCCTCGCCCATGAAATTTTGGTAACTTATAACTTCTTATTTTCTTGAAATAATGAGGACAAGTATGCAGGCAGCCCTCGTGGGGCTTACCTAGCTCTTCCTTGCTATGGGAAGATTGTCTCCTGTGGCAAGGGTGATGATGCCAGAAGATATGCTACTGAGTAGTATAGCCAGGGAAAAGGAATTTGTACCAAGAGGGAAGGTTCCATCTGGGTGTGCAAATAGTTAAGCACTGAGAAGTTGATGGTTCAAGTCTACAAAGGAGCACATTGGAGGAAAGGCTTGGTGATCTATTTCTGAAAGCAATAGAACACGTTTCTACTCTAATAGACAAACTCTAATAGACAAACTCTAACAGTCAAACTTATGGCAATTAGGTTTTTCTTGGGTGGGTGGGGGGATCAGTAAGGGGGAGGAGAAGATGGACATCTGGATTCTCAGAGGATAGATGTCCTGAAGTTGGCAAATCTCATCCTTGACTGCCTTATTTATCTCTCAGAAAGTAAGGTAACTCCTAGGAACTCTTGGGTAGGGAAGACCAAGACCCTTGGAGCTTCAATGTGAGGGCCATTTCTTTTTGATTCTCTATCCAGTGATATACTGGATATACTTAGTAATCTGCTTTCAAGGGCGAAGGGGGAAGCTTCGTAGTAGTGGATCATTTCCATGGTGTAAATACTCCCACCATGACTTATTTTAAGCTAACAGTGTGATGTCACTGAATGTGAATTTAGGAGAAGATGCACATGAATTTATGAGGACAGCCAGTGCAAGCTAGCTCCAGCACACCATTGATGCTATGTGGAAAGATGGTTCAATGTCTTATAGCATGAGAGGTTCTTATCATTCCTGGGCTGTTTCTAAAAACAAACATAAAAATAAAACAAAGTAGTCTTGAGTATTGCACACTAAAACTGAAAGCAAACAGTGTTAATGTAGTTCTGTTTTCAGTGTACCAAATAACTTTTAAAAAATATTGTGGTAAAATATATGTAAGATAAAAAAAAATTTTTTTTTCTTCCTTCCATTTTTTTTTTTTTAATTGTGATTTGGGTGAAGATTTACAGTGCACATTCACTTTCCATACAGCAGTTCACATACACTTTGTCTCATGACATTGACCACAGTTTACCACAATACAACAGCTCCCCTCCCACTTCTTCCTGATAGTTACCTCTTCCCAGTGTCCCTCTCTCCATGCACTCCTGCCCCCTGAGCTGTCTCCCTGTGTATAAGCAGCCCTTCTCTCTCCCGTGATTGTTCTCTCCAAGGAGTGTAGTAAGATACAATTTGGCATTTTATCCATTTTTAAATGTATTATTCGGTGGCATTAATTACATTCACCATGTTGTGCAACCTTTATCACTATTTCTTAAACGCTTTCTTCAGTCTAAACAGAAACTCAGCAATCCTTAAGTAATAATTCCCCATTTTTCCCTCCCCCAACCCCAGTCTGTGGTAACCGCCAATCTACTTTCTGTCTGTATGAAATAGTCTAAATATTTCATATAAGGAGTAAGTTGTTGTTGTTGTTGTTATTGTTATGGGCTGTCGAGTTGGACCCAACTCATAGCGACCCCTCCTTGGGTTTCCGAGGCAGTATCACTACGGAAGTAGATTGTCCAACCTTCCTTCCAACGAGTGGCTGGTGGTTTTGAACTGCCAGCCTTCTGGTTAGCAGTCAAGTGCCTTAGGCACTAAGCTACCAGAGCTCCTAAGGAGTAAGTAGAATCATACTATATTATTCTTTTTGTGGATGACTTTTTTACTAAGTATAGTGTCTTCAAGGTTCATCCATGTTGTACCATGTATCAGAACTTTTTTCCTTTTTATGACTCAATAATATTCCATTATATAAATATACCACATTTTGCTTACCCATTCATCTGTTGATGGACAATTGAGTTGTTTTCCCTTTTGGCTGTTGTCAATAATACTGAAGTGAATATTTATGTAAAAGCATCTGTTTGATTTCCTGCTCTTAAGTGTTTTGGATATATGCTTAGGAGTGGGATTGCTGAGTCCTATGGTAACTCTGGAGCCCTGGTGGTACAGTGGTTAGAATGCTCAGCTGCTAAAAGAAAGATTGGTGGTTTGAACCCACCAGCCACTCTGCAGGAGAAAGAGGGGACAGTAAGCTTCTGTAATGATTTACAGCCTTGGAAACCCTATGGGGTAATTCTACTCTGTACTATAGGGTCACTGAGTCAGAATCAACTTGATAGCAGTAGTTTATAGTAGTTCAATGTTTAACTTTTAAGGAGTGGTTGCATCATTTTATATGTAATACACGACGGCTCAATTTTCCAGTTTCTCCTTGCCTACATATGGCTACCAGCCACTCCTCAGAAGGAAGACTGGGAAATCTATTTCTGTAGACATACCTCCTTGGAAACCCAAGGAGGGGTCACTATGAGTCAAAATTGACTCGACTGCAGTGAGTTTGGTTCTTTTGGTTTTAATGGGTAACAATGTTGAGCATCATTTTTCCATGGGGTTATTAGTCATTTTTATGTCTTTTTTTTTTTTTTTTTAGAAATATCTATTCAATTCCTTTGCCCATTTAAAATTATATTTTCTTGTTGAGTTTTAGGAGTTCTTCATATATTCTGGATACTAAACCCTTATCAGATATTTGATTTCCAAATATTATTTCCCATTCTAAAGATTGCTGTGATGGGTTGAATTGTGTCCCCCCCCCCCAAATGTATGTTATAAATACTACAATACCTGTGGTTAGGATCCCATTTAGGAATAAGGTTTCTTTGTTATGTTGTTGTTATGTGCCATTGAGTCAGCTCCAACTCATAGTGACTCCATGTACAACAGAACGAAACACTGCCTGGTCCTGATTCATCCTCAAAATCCTTGCTGAGCTGGAGTCCATCATTGCAGCCACTGTGTCAGTCCATCTTGTTGAGGGTTTTCCCCTCTTTCTCTGACCCTCTACTTTACCAAGCATGATACCATTCTCCAGGAACTGGTCCCTTGTGTCAACATGAGCAAAGTAGGAGAGATGAAGTAGCCATTCATTCTTGCTTCTAAGGAGTATCCTGGCTGTACTTCTTCAAAGACATTTAATTCTTCTGGCAGTCCATGGTATTTTCGATATTCTTCACCAACATAATTCAAAGGCATCAATTCTTCAGTCTTCCTTATTAATTGTCTACCATTCACATGCATATGAAGTTATTGAAAATACCATGGCTTGACTCAGGCATGTCTTGGTCTTCAAAGTGACTTTTTCACTCTTTGCCACCAGGTCTTTTGCAGCAGATTTCCCCTTGCAACATGTTGTCATGTTAATAAGGTGGTATCAGTGTAGTGTATGCCTTAAGTCAATCTCTTTTGATGGAAAAAAAAAAAAAAAAGAGCAGATTAAGCAAGCATCAAGAAAGCACAGATGGAGGAAGAGAGATGTCATGTCATGTGAAGTCTCCAAGGAACAGGAAACAGAAGTTGAGAGGAGACAAAGACCTTCCCCTAGAGCCAACAGAGGGAGAAAATCTTTCACTAGAACTGGAAAAAAGAAATAAAAACAAAAACAACTCACTATCGAGTTGGATCTGACTCATAACGACCCCTCCTTGGGTTTCCAAAGCTTTATCTCTACAGAAGATTTGGGTTTGATTTTAGCTATTATAGAGTTAGTTTTTGCATATGGTGTGAGGAAAGGTTCCAACTTCATTCTTTTGCATGTCAGGTCCAGTTGTCCCAAGACCATTTGTGGTTCTTTCCCCTACTGAATGGACTTGGCACTCTTGTTGAAAATCAATTGAACATAATCATATGGGTTTATTCCAGGCTCTCAATTATATTTCAGTTGTCTCTCTGTCTAGTCTTATGCTAGTACCACACTGTTTCTGTACTAGCTTTGTAATAAGTTTTGAAATCAGAAAGTCTGAATCCTCCTACTTTGTTATTTTTGCAGATTGTTTTGGCTAGTTAGAGTCCCTTGCAATTCCATATGAATTTGCAGTTTTTCCCCTCATTTCTGCAAAAATGGCCATTGGGATTTTAGGGATTGGATTGGATCTGTAGATCATTTTGAGTAGTATTAACATCTTAATAATATTAAGTCTTCCAGTCCATGAACACAAATGTCTTTCCATTTATTTAGGGTTTCTTTAAATTCTAACAGTATTGTTTTATAGTTTTCAGTGTACAAATTTTTTCACTTACTTGATTAATTTTTCCTAGGTATTTTATTCTTTGAGATGCTATTTATTTTAAATGGAATTGTATTCTTAATTTCTTTTTTGGATTGCTCATTGCTGACTCCTGAAGAATTTAGATGTACTCTCATTAATTACTCTTCACATGTCAATTTTCTCCTTTGCCTCACAAGGTTTTCTACCTTAGAAATTAGCTTTTTCTCTCTCTTTTTCATGGATACTAAAATATTTAATGTCAATACTTTAAGTTATTCAAAAGCATTCTGTCGCTTCTTGAGAATTTTTGAGACTGGATGTGTTACAGAGTAGAGCTGCTCCATAGGGTTTTCTAGACTGTAATCTTTATGGAAGCAGATCACTAGTCCTTTCTTCCTCAGTACTGCAGTGTGGGTTCAGACCACCAACCTTTAGGTTAGCAGTTGAGCACAAACCATTTGCACCACCCAGTGACCTACTCTTAGATAATTACTTGCTATATTTTACCATAGAATCTCAACAGTATACAGAGTCACCATTTTAACTCACACTACAAATAGGACATTCAGAAAGAATATTAAAACTTTTTTTGCCTTTAGCTGATTAGATCTTTCTCCAGATTAATGTCCAGTAATTCAAACCTAGTTTGTTCTGATCATCTAAACTGTCTATTTGGGAAATATATTCAATCTATTATTTGGATAAACTGTTCAGTCTTTCTGGGAGCCTTTCCTTTTCCTGCCTTTCTCACTAAGAAGATCCCCATAACCTCATTCTAGTCCTTAAATGTGTGTTGGCTAGTGTCCTTCATCTATAGTTGCTCCTCTTGCTGAGATTTGTATCTGCAGATGTTGGGGTAATGAACCTTTCTGTTCTTTTGATTTGGACAGTACACTCCTTGGCGGGGAAACTTTCCCTGCTACCGATGGCTGCAAATGCTTGAATCTCTGCCACAGCCACTATCTGGCCATGAGCCAGGCAATTCACCTTCTAGTTTGGTTCATAGAGGCCCTCTGGCTGTCATCTCCACAGCAACTCCTCCACGGACCTAAGGGAAAATGAGAAAAGCCACATATCAGCATCTTCTTCATACTATGCTAATTTTTTGCGGCTATACTCTGAAGAAGGGGGGCAATAACCCCTTCCTTGCCCTCAGTGTCAGCTTACCTATTTATCACATTTACCTATTGTTCACCCCAGGCTTCCAACCTCCATCCCTCCCATTCCCTGAAGACACCCTTGTCAGAGAACACACACTTAACCCTCTTTCTCTCTTCTTTCCACCGTCTGTAGGGCAGAAAAGGTACAGGCTTTTTGTATGCTCTCCTGATACCATATTCTCTTATCTCAGAGTGGTTTACCTGTTTCCCATGGTTATGATATCCCCTCCACCTCTCAGGAGAACTCCACAATTTTATGTTGCTATCTTAAATTGCTTTTTCTCTCTCTTTTTCATGGATCAGCATTTAGAACACATTTTCTTGAGACAAAAGTTTGGCTTGCAAGGCTATTGATTTGTTACATAACTCAGTGCTAGTTTTCCAAAGCTGAATATTTCCTTGATCTTTTGCTTTTGATTTCTTATGTAACAAATTTTAACCTTTTCAGGCAAACAGATCAAGAATAAATTAGGAAAAAGATTTTTTGTGAATGATAAAGTAAAAGAGAAAACAAATAATGATACAACATCATTTAAAAAAACCATAAAACTGGTTTGGAATTTATGGGAATGTAGGAAAATTATTATATCTGAAGTCCTGGGTAAGTGAGTAGAATCACCTGGTAAATAGTAAATCAC